AGTCTTTTTCCATTGCTCTCCATTGTCAAAAATCAATATATGAAAGATCTTGTTTATCACAATGTATATTAATCATGCTTGATAAATGAGTAAATATACTCATGTGAGACTATCCCTTTCTCAAGGAACTTCATGAGAACTTGTGTTGGTGTGTTCTTCCTCCTGTACTCAGTTTAGCTCCTCATTTCTCTAGGCGTTCGAGAAGCCCAGTCCACCCCAGAAGCCTCTTCCCGCAGACCCGCTGAGTGGAAACGTCCGAGTGATTCGGAACCCATCGGCCGTGCGACTTCCAGCTCCCATCCCGACCCCAGCCGCCCCGCGACCCGCTCCGCCTCACCCACAGCCCACCAGGTGCAAACACATCCATGAACACCTGCTGAAAATGTCAAATCATTAACGAAATAGTTCACCCAAAAAAGAAAATTTGCTGAAAATGTCCTCAAACTCATCTACATCTTGGATGGCCTGAGGGTGTTTCTTCATCAGATTTGGAGAAATGTAGCATTGCATCACTTGCTCACCAATGGCTCCTCTGCAGTGAATGGGTGCCATCAGAATGAGAGTCCAAACAGCTGATAAAAACATCACAATAATCCACACCACTCCAGTCCATCAGTTAAAGGGTTAGTTCACCTAAAAATGAAAATTCTGTCATTAGTTACTCACCCTCATGTTGTTCCAAACCCGTAAGACCTTCATTCATCTTCGGAACACAACAGGCACGTGCACACATAGACATCAAAGGGGGCTTGAGCATCTGCCCTTTTTCTTCCTCAAGAGAAAGTGCCTTTTTTTCTGGGGAGATGTTTTTTTTTTTTTAAGAAATGAATATATGTATATATGTGTGTGTGTGTGTGTGTGTTTCTGTTTGCGCACAGCTTTCCCTGTCAAACAAATAAAAAATCCAAATGTCGGGTCGGGAAATGTTGAGACTTTCTCCCCTCCGCGCAGGCGCAGCACAGCAGTGTAGCACACATTGATCTGCACATGCGCATCACAGACAGGCAGAGAGCCACAAAAGTGAAGCCCTCCCTCCCTTTCCACTGTGTTTGTCTTGGTGTGGAGGTGAGTGGTGATGAACTATAGACTATGCTGCCTGTGCCTCGAATTTACAGCTAATTATTCAAAAGACAAAAGGCAAATATGGTTAATTTGTCTTGCTAACATCAATGAATCATGAGAGAGCTACCAAGTAAGTTAGCTAAGTATTTAGTCTAGTATTTAGACCATTTTTCCACTTAAGCTCCTGCACGTCCCTGGAACACAAATTAAGATATTTTTGATGAAATGTGAGAGCTCTCAGACCCTGCATAGACAGCAACGCAACTGTAATGTTCCCAGACAGAAACGTAGTAAGGACATCGGTAAAACAGTCCATGTGACATCAGTGGCTCAACTTCATTTTTGCGAAGCTACGAGAATACTTTTTGAGCGCAAAGAAAACAAATATAAGATCATTTATTTCACAGTTCTCCTCCCCCGAGTTATGTCTTCCGCCATTTTGGAGAGTACCCAAGAGTGTAATCGACGTAATCAGCGTTGTTTACATTCGGGGGAGAAACCGCGCGCATGAACGTAATCAGCGTTGTTTACGCTTAGAGGAAAGCGTGCGTATGCATTGTGATACTGTCTAAAATGGCGGAAGACGTAACTCGGGGAAGAAGAATTGTTGAAATAATTTTTTGTTTTCTTTGCACTCAAAAAGTATTCTCGTAGCTTCGCAAAACTGAAGTTGAGCCACTGATGTCACATGGACTGTTTTACCGATGTCCTTACTACGTTTCTGGACCTGGGAACATTACAGATGCGTTGCTGTCTATGCAGGGTCTGAGAGCTCTCACATTTCATCAAAAATATCTTAATTTGTGTTCCGAAGATGACCAAAGGTCTTACGGGTTTGGAACGACATGAGGGTGAGTAATTAATGACAGAATTTAAATTTTTTTGGGTGACCTATCCCTTTAACATCTTCGAAGTTTGAAGTTAAAAACGCCTTGATGGATTTGTTTCTTAGAAACACGCAACTTTTCTCTGCAACAGACATTAACTGATGGACTGGAGTGGTGTGGATTATTGTGATGTTTTTATTAGCTGTTTGAACTCTCATTCTGACGGCATCCATTCACTGCAGAGGAGCCATTGGTGAGCAAGTGATGCAATGCTACATTTCTCCAAATCAGTTCTGGCAAAGAAACAAACACATTTACATCTTGAATGGCCTGCGGCTGAGTAAATTATTTTGATTAACCCATTACTGGACTTGCAGGCCTCCTCCTAAACAGCCGCCCACCCTGCCGAAGCCTCACTTCACAGCCGGAGTGAAGTTCAGCAGCTGAGAGACGGACAGAAGGGATCTCGTCCCTGGAGACGCTCGCTTTTTACACTATGAACCTCTGCGGGACACATGGTGATGCGAGGGGTGACCTTTGACCCCCGCGGTGCTCTCCCTTTAAACGGTGCTATGAGTCCAAGCTCAGGTACATGTCACGCGTTATTTATGTCGGTTACGAGCGTATTTATTTGAGCACAGTGCACTGTGGTTGACACTTTCTCAATCGTAGCAATTGGTGGTTCGCCCACGTTTACCTGATTGTCCTTTTGTCGTTGTTGCTATTGTTGTTGTTTTGACATTTTTCGACTGTGTACCAGCAGATAAAGATGAGACGTGTTATCTGTGAACGTGAACCACATCATTTGGACGCTAAACTGGATTGAAAACCAGATTTAAATGGAAACGTGAATTGGGAGTTGATGGTTCTGTATTTGTGACGTCATTTGGTATATGAAAAGGGCTTTTTAATAATTTCATATGATTTAATGGCCATTTTTATTATATATTTCAGACATGCATGATTAAACCTGAAGTACAATTGCAGTGATGCTTAAGGGATGTTGAAGACACCTATATGAATATTATCTCACAATAACATGTCCAGGTTACATTTTATCCCAAATTAAAGGGAACAAAATAATAAATAACATTTTGCATAAAGTGTAAAAGGTATTTTTAGGCAAAAAATAGGCAAAATGTTTTGTTTTTTTTTTGCTTAATATTTATTATTTTAAGGTATTTTGTTTTTAATTCTAAGACAATTAAGCTTATTTCCCCCTCATATTTTAGATGAATATTTTGCTTCTTTTTTCATTCTAAATATTATCTATGATGATTCTCATTACTGATATAAAGTAATTTTATAGTAAAAAAAAAGTATGTAAAAAAAGTAATGAGTAAACAGTTGTATTTTTTTATATGTAAAGTGCAAAACATTAGCAGCAAAGCAGTAAAACAAATACTTAAAAAATATATAAATATTACAATTTAAATATATTATTATTATTTTATTTTTTGCTTTGCATTAATGGGAATTTGAGTGGAAAATGTGCTTAATTTGTCACGGAAATCTTAATGTTAAAAATAAGCTTCAGTTTCTTTTCCAGTCTCTGAAATTATTTTTAATAGGCTCGATTTTTGTAAGAAAAACATAATTTCTTACTACTTCCTTTTCATTTTTAGGTGAAATATGACCTGGACATTCACGGAGGGTGTACAATACTGTGCAGCTGAATAATGTTCTGAATTCACTCCATTTCACATGTCTAAACCGGTCTTGTTTCTCTTTTCTTTTCTTTTTTGTGAGTTTGAAAACATTTGCAACAAATTATATGCACCAAATCCAGCTTGTGTTGATTTCAACGCTCGTAAAGAAGATACAGACACAGATGTTGTAATGCAGTTGTGTTCCTGTAACCTGTCGGATGTTCAGATAGACGGTTCACTCAGGAGATCCCAACTTTGAGAAGACCTTTACTGACTGGAAAGATCTGAGAGGCAGAAAGCCAAACCAGGCCTTGATTTCATGGTCATGCAGCCATATTTTCATGGATGTCCTTTGAGAAGTAGTTATTGTGGGGAATTGATTAAACAAATTACATGGATTTTCTTTATTATCGACCCAAATAATGTTGCTGCATGGAGCATTAAAAGTGGATTGGGTTAATGAAAACAGACACATAAATCCTTCTCTAAATATTCCCATAATCCCTTTGGTGTCCTTCAAACATGCTGCGGTCAGTGGGTTTGAATCACTGGCAAAGGTTCATGGGTGATTTGTCAGGGTAAATGAACACACTGCACTGCACAATAGGATGTGCACAAAACATTTAAAAATAGTTTTAGCAGTGATTATGGTCATGAATTACTGTCAACAGGGTCAAAATTAATGCAAATTGGGGTAACACTTAAAGCCTTTATATATAATCCATTATAAAAGTAGTTTTAATGCAGCCTTGTAATGCACCTTATAATGCACTGTATGATCTCATGAATAATTGCAAACACAGTTATAATTCATTATAATACTTATCTATTCACAACTTTAGAAAATATAATGCATTAAAACAAATGACAAACAAACAAACCTTCAAATAGTATAATGCATTTAAACTTTGGTTACAGTTATTTATGCATTACATAAATCATTTTATCAATCATTTTACATTAAGGCTTTAAGTGTTACCCAAATTGGCTTTGGTGAGTAAACAGTTTTCTGTAACTTGCCACTTTATGAGGAACTACAACGTAATATGATTAAATTGAAATGTAAGAATGATAGTCTGATGCACAATGATGGGGGAAAAAAATGTAAAAGACATTCAAATATCTTTCATGACTCGATCTACCATTCAAAAGTTTGTCTAAGTCGAAAATATTTTTTTTTGTGCATCGTGGCTGCATTTTTTTTTGATCAAAATACAGTAAAAACCGTAATATTCTGAAATGTTATTACAATTTAAAATGTGTTTTCTATGTTGAATGTTTAAAACGGTTGTGCTGCTTCATATTTTTGTGGAAGCCATGACTTTTTCAGGATTATTGATAAATAGAAAGTGCAAACGAACAGCATTTATTTGAAATGTAAATCTTTGGTAACATTTTAAATGTTTTTACTGTCACTATTGATCAGTTTAATGCATCCGTCTATTAGTTTCTCTCAAAAATCAAAATATTACTGAAAGTTACCCAACGTTTTGAATATAATGTATTTTAATAAGAAATGTATATAGCTGGCAAAATTCACTCTCCATTTGCAGGTTGATGTTTGGCACTGAGACTTATTATTATTGAGTCTTATTACTTTATGCCACTGAGCCATTTATGATCTCAAACTTTAGGCCTGTATTCTGACGCCTTATGAGTGCCATTATATCTGTGTTTACATTTGTAAATTCATCTTCATTCACTGTATTAGCAAACATAATGAGTGTCCCGTTGCCTTTTTACAGTGTTAAACCACACAGTGCATTATAGTACGCACAGAGACTGTTCAGATCTAGACGTTGACTTGATACGATGATCACGTGTCTCTAGGTTAACTGCCTTGCTTGTTTTAATCTCAGTTATCATTTACTATTATTCACTTTGAATCACGTTGTAGCCGCACTCAGTAAATCTGCTCATGTAACATTCTTTTCATATTTTCTTCAGTGTCACGGGTGTAAACTGCTTTTTTATGATACATCTTTGATAAATCAAGAAATGTGAAATAAGATACTGTATGTTGATGGCTGCAGCACACAAATATCAGTCAGCATAAAGGGCAGCGCTAGTAAAGTTGTTTATGAAACTGATGTGTGGTTTGTCATTTAGTCTGACGTCTCTCACTTCTCGTCCACAAACAGACTGATGATATTCTGAAAGAAAAGATAAAGAAATATAATCAATGAGCTAAATATCTTGAGATGATTCAGAAGTCGTATCAAGACGAAAGGTGTTTTACCTTCCTTTCAAATGCGTGCGCCATTTGGCTAACGCCAGCCTGAAACACAGAGAAAGAGACCAGTCAGATTGGTGAATCCAGAAAATGTGCTTTATGATTTGAGAATAAGCCAAGAGGAACATTGTATTGCTCTTTCATAACTCCGATGTCTTTTAAGTGTTAACTAGTTAGTGAAGTGAAGAGAAGTGACATGTGGCCACGTATGGTGACCCATACTCTGAATTAGTGCTCTGCATTTATCCCATCCAAAGTGCACACACACCGTGAACACACACCCGGAGCAGTGGGCAGCCATTTTTTGCAGTTGGGGGTTCGGTGCCTTGCTCAAGGGCACCTCAGTCGTGGTATTGAAGGTGGGAGAGAGTGCTGTACATTCACTCCCCCACCTACAATCCCTGCCGGTATGAGACTCGAACCCGCAACCTTTGGGTTATGAGTCCTACTCTCTAACCATTAGGCCACGACTAGCTAGTTTTTATTATTATTTATATATACTATTATATATATAGCTTAAGTTTTATTTTGTTGTGTGCTTTTAGCAATTATTATTATATTATTTTTTTAGATTATTTATATATTAACAGGAGAGTCCCGCTGTGATGGCCCGCTGTATGATCAAATGTTTAATGTGTGTGTGTGTGTGTGTGTGTATGTCTATATGTATGTGTGTATCTAGCCCCGGCCTCCCCTGCTTATTTAGTGGTTTATTAGATGCTGAGATATTACAGTACAGTTTCAGAGTTTGAGTTCTGACCATCAGTGGTGTTTACCCGTCTCTGTCCTGAACATTAACATCAGCACCAGCTGTGATTAACAGTGAAGCTGCAGCTGTGTCTCCAGTTATGACCGATACGATCATGAGGGGCGTCCCGAATATCAACCTGAGGCATTATGAGGTGTAAATCAGGTACAACTACAACCAGACACTGAATGTTTATGTTTATGTCCTCTCACCTCACATCCGTCCTGTATGAGGTACTGCAGGAGAGGCAGGTGTCCTCCAGCTGCGGCCTAGTACAGAGCGCAGCAGCCCGATCCGTCCCGAGAGCTCCCCTTCACCACATCCAGGTGGAAACACGTGAGCATCAGGCTGATTCACTACACACACACACACACACACACACACACACACACACACAAAAAAATAATAATTACAAAAACACAAAATTACTAAAACTTTAACAAAGTAAAATGAAAATGCACAATATAAACAATATAAAATGAAAAAGAATTAAAAGTATAGTAGTATCTCACTGATATTAAAATAGCACTGGTGTGAGCCCTGATGATTTATTTATAATTATTTTATTCATTTTTTTTTCCAATTCATGTTAATTTGTATAATGCTTTTCACAATACGTATCATTTTAAAGTAGGCTTA